TTACCGAACTCCCGACAAAGTAGGTAAAATAATGGCCCGAAACCTATATTGCTATTATTTTACATGCTTTTGGGGTCCAGTTCGCGGTTTCGACTTTATACGGCACAGCATGTGGTCCGAGACTTGTTGTTGAATTTCGGGGCTGCTTGGTCTGCCGTTTGGGGCTTCGCTGCGGAACTTCATGTAGGTTTCTGACTGACTCCTTAAAGGCTAACCTTTTTCCTGTTATGCAGGTTTAATACGGGAGCCATACAATAAAAAGTGCAAAAGCTAAATCCTAAACCCTAAGCCCTATAAACCCTAATTCCGAAACCCTAAACCTGGGCACCAAATGGGAACCTAGTCATTAACACGAGTCGGACAGAAAGGCGTTTCGACGACTTGGCCGGGCAGTTATGCCTCAAGCTTTTCAGTTCAGGGCAAAATCTTCAGGCTCTAAGATTCTTGTTTGAGGGCTTAAGTTTTTAGGGTTTCGGGTTTAGGATTTAGGGTTTAGTCCTGTAAAGCTTGCCTTCGCGGTTTGAGGCTACAGGGCCAAGTAAATGTACAGCGCCTGGCTGGGGAGTCCCAGGCGTGATTTCCCTACTCTTCTCTGTGCTCACGCGAAGGTTTGGGTTGACGACAGCCACATCCTCAAATAATGCAGTGTTTCCCCGGGCCGGCACCGAAACATTGAGCTGCCTCTAGAGAGTCTGAGTTCTGAAACGATCTGAGCAATTCAGCTGCGGTGTTCCGTGATCCTGTGTCGACACTCACGCGCTGCGAGCCGCCAACCGCCTCCTCCATAACCCCTGTGTCGTGTTCCCCTGTTGAAGATGGGGGGGGGGGTGGACTCTCGCACTGTACTATAGTGCAGTCTCTTGTCTGGTAGTGTATTATACTACATTACACCATACTATACTATTTTACTTTTATAGTATATATTTCAATTTGGTCATATCATACCCTAAACCCTAAACCCTAAACCCTAAACCCTAAACCCTAGTCTCTTGTTTGCCCACAAATAAAAATATTTTGCCATTCCGAAGGCCCCGGACCCCACAGACCTGCACAGGGGCTCTCCACAGCAGGAGCCTGAGGCAACCGTGAATCCGAAATCCTAAACTCAACCTGTGGCCCCAAAGATCTACCTTGCTAAGGAACTCTGTATATATATATATATGTATATAGAAACCATAAGGAACTATATTTCTGTATATATATATATATGTATATGGGTGTTATCCGATAT